TTTTTCGTAGGTATATAGCGACACCACCTCCCCCCTTCTCGGTCCGATCATTGCGTATAAGAATGAAATTGGGTAACGGGTACAAACTCGACATAATAGATGGTTTAAGCCAACTCTCAGATATTAAGATAGCATCGATACAGTCTAGTGAGAATGCTTCTTCTAAGTAGGAAAAATGACTTGGAATGCTCTGTGCATTAATTAATATGACAAACATTAAAATATTTTTATGAGGCAGAAAAATATTACATAACTGATCGCGTAAGGGGAAGTAAATTATCTGTAAGATCATTACCAGAGGCGTATGAGGAATCTGAAATATAAATGGAATAAAAAGATTCATCATCAGACATTATTAACTTCTAAATAGATTTATATATAATATGTATATTAGATAATAACAAAATATTAAATATTAAATATATTAAGAGATAAAACAAAGTCTAAGTATAAAATATCTACAACGATATACATATAAACCAGAAAATCAACTACTGCACTATCACTGCTCTATCCCATAAGTTGACTGAAAGATAACAAGCACTGTTTTTTTAAAAATAAACTTAAATTAATAGAACATTAAAATACACTATTATACAAGTAAATACAGAAGCAGGATATAACAAAACATCAACATTAAACTAATAAGTCCACAGTTAGTCTTTCCCAACGAAAACAAAATCAAAACGTTTAATTTGTTAGTGTCTGTGTAACCAAATCATTTCTTGAAATCAATGTTAACAGGGATATAGTAAAAATTGTAAAATTTAGTCATGATATAAAATAACATCCGTTTGCTAACAGTATTTTAGAAACATTAAAACACACTAGGATGCAAGGTATAATACCTTTGCCTGTACTTGGCATATCGTAATTACCTACAACAATATTCTTTATCTTTACAAAGTAACAAAATAACAGTTTGTTTCATAGATAAATAAATATGTTGCAAGTGTTTATTATATTTTTCTACCTACTTTATTACCAACAATATTATAATACTATTATTAGCTGCTTTATTCTTATTATAAAAAGTAAATAATAAACAATATTAAACCCTTAGTAGTTTAGCTAAGTCAATGAAACTAAAAAGATATATATAATGCAACGATAATTACTACAATACGATCATTAGAAGCCGGTTTCCGAAAAGGCTTCAGTACCATAGACCACATACATACCCTGCGGCAGATTGTACAGAAGACTGAAGAGTACAATTTGCCACTTTGCCTGGCGTATGTGGACTATGAGAAAGCCTTTGATTCCGTCGAAATTTGGGCGGTGCTGCAGTCCCTTCAGCGGTGCCAAGTTGACTGTCGGTATATCGAAGTGCTGAAGTGTTTGTACAGTAGGGCTACGATGGCTATCCGAGTACAGAACCAGAGCTCGAAACCTATCCAACTGCAGAGAGGTGTAAGACAGGGTGACGTTATATCCCCGAAACTCTTCACCGCTGCTTTGGAAGACGTTTTCAAGCTACTGGATTGGAAAGGATACGGTATTAACATCAATGGCGAGTACATCACTCACCATCGATTTGCCGACGATATAGTCCTTATGGCAGAATCGCTGGAGGACTTAAGCACTATGCTCAATGACCTCAATAGTGCCTCCCAACGGATAGGTCTTAAGATGAACATGGACAAAACAAAGATCATGTTTAAGGTCCATGTCACACCTATGCCGGTAGTTGTTGGGAGCACTATGCTCGAAGTTGTTGATGAGTACGTTTACCTGGGACAAATAGTCCGACTAGGTAAGTCCAACTTCGACCGAGAGGTCAATCGACGGATTCAACTCGGCTGGGCAGCGTTCGGGAAATTACGACACATCTTCTCGTCAGGTATACCTCAATCTCTGTAAAACTAAAGTGTACAACCAGTGCGTGTTGCCAGTGGTGACTTACGGATCAGAGACGTGGTCCTTCACTGCTGGCCGTATGAGGACGCTCAAGGTCGCTCAGCGAGCTATGGAGAGGGCTATGCTCGGAGTTTCTCTGCGTGGTAGACTCAGAAATGAGGATAGCCATATAGCTCGAAGAACCGATAACCGATGGGGAAGAAAGGTTCTCGAGTGGCAGCCTCGTACCGGTAGGCGTAGTGTAGGGCGACCCCCCACTAGATGGAGTGACGCCCTGGTAAGATATGCAGGAAGTCGATGGATGCAGGTGGCTCAGGACCGTGCTTTGTGGCATTACTTGGGGGAGGCCTATGTTCAGCAGTGGACTTGTGAAGGGCTGTGATGATGATGATGATGATAATTTACACTTACATATCTATTGTGGAAATTAATAAAATTTGAAATTATGAATAGGAGCACTTAAAAACAGCTGTTGACTGTAACACCTAGCCGCAGAAAAATCTTATCTTAGATCATTAAAAGGTTCGAGACGCTCTCTAAACTCAACGAGCGTTTTTTGGGTCTGATTGGTTACCCTTATGATGAATTATTGATATTGGTGTGGTAGTATGATCGCGGTGACATCCTATTATGTATTACCTTTAGATACGCTAGCCACTCATAGTATTGGCAATATGTATAAACATGGAGCAAATATCCGAGTTTCATATCCGCATCCAATGGCGCGGATATATGTAGCTATAATCGTAATTCTTACTAATATTAGTAGATTACTGTTTTTAGAGGAATAATGTTCGTCCATTTTTAAGGTGTCTGTTTAAAATAGGTCGTTGGTAGCGTCGAAAAAAAAGACCAACATCAGACGTTTCAGATCTTCGATTTTGACGACCCCGTTGTCGCTGGCATAAGCAACAGGATCCGCATACGAAGTCGCGGGCAGAAGCTAGTATATACATAAATTGGAAGTGTCTGTCTGTTAATATTGAAATAACAACCTTTTATTGAGCTTGGGTTATTCGCATGCTATTAAGATAACAATAAACTTATCCATATATATATATATATATATATATATATATATATATATATATATATATATATATATATATATATAATCGGAATCTCGGAAACGGCTCCAACGATTTTCATAAAATTTTGTATGCAGGGAGTTTCGGGGGCAATAAATCGATCTAGCTAGGATTTATTTTTAGAAAATGTCTTTTTGTCCGTGTTTTAGGCAATGAAAAACTGCTACAATATCGTTAGAATAAGAAGGTAAATTTTTACAGTTTATTAATGATTACAAATAGCTTAATTGCTATATTGGGCGCTCACAAAATCGTAATACCATTGTTCGGCCCAGACCGACCGACTTTTTTTTAATTTTCTTTCAAGTTCCTTTCTGTTTTTAGAAAATCTATTCTTTCGAGTCCTTTTTTTAGTATTTTTTAAAAACACGAAAATTTAAATTAAACTTATTGCACTCATGATTTTTTATTCAAATAACCAGTTCAGTTTTTTCTATTATGTCGCTACGATCAAAAAATATTATTCGTATGTCATCAGTATGTAATTTGTATCTAAATATAATTTCCAAAACACACGAATTAAAAAAAAAACGGAGCGAAAAATACCGAGCAAAGCTCGGTCAACCGGGTACTATATATATATATATATATATATATATATATATATATATATATATATATATACATACCGACATATACATGTACACATAAAATTGAAGTGTCTGTCTGTAAATATTGAAATAACGACCTTTTATTTAGCTTGGGTGATTCGCATGCTATTAAGATAATAATAGTCATTTTTGAAATGTTTGTCCGTCTGTCTGTCCGGGCTATCTATATAATCTTCAAAATGGCTCAACCGATTGTAATGAAACTTGACAAAGAGATAGATAGCAATGCCAGAAGTTATCTATATTTTATCCCAAAAACTTGTAAGATTTTTTTGGAAATCGTAAAATTGATAAATGTTTTTGATGATTATCATAAATCTAAATAACGCCACATATATAGATCAGGCGAAGTCGGGACGGTTCGCTAGTCAAGAATAATTGATTCAGCATACTTACAGCTACAGCGCTGAAAACAAAAAAATTAAAGTAACTTAGCATTTTTTCGTTTTATTTTAGTTACATTTTTTATTTTCTCTAACCTTTCTATCATATGATATTATTATCATTTATTAGAAACTCGTTAAAGAAGTACTACGTAAACATTGTACTAGGCAAGAGAGTAAGGAACTGGTATCCGTGAGGATGCTCAGGGCAGACCACCTCAGCAACGAGTGGAAGGACAGCTTACAATGTACACAGCAGGAAGATCCGGACATAAAGCCGATTCTGGAATGGATGAAGGCCAGTGCTCCCAAGCCCAAGTGGAGCGACGTCTCAGCGATGAGTTCGACCACTAAAAGCTATTGGGCCCAGTGGGACAGCTTGCTGCTTCAGGGTGGAGTTCTGTGCCGTAAATGGGAAAATGTTCGGGGAGACAGCTGTCATTTGCAAATGGTTGTCCCTAAAGCTAAAGTACTGGATGTTCTACAGAAAAAACAGAAGCAAGAAAACACTACGAGGAGCAGATCCTGAGTCTAATTGAGAAGGGATACGCAGAGATAGCTCCAGAAACCTCCAACAAAGGAAGAACATTCTACTTACCCCACTTCGCTGTTGTGCACCCAGTTAAGAAGAAGCTGAGAATAGTGTTCGACGCAGCTGCCAAGTATGAAGGGAAGAGCCTCAACGACGCCTTGCTCTCGGTTCACACACTTTTTAGGTTATTTTTGATTTTATAAAATAACTCCAAAACCTAGGTTTTTTTTTTCAAAAAGGAGTTAATATGATCAGTGTAGTCTATAAAAAAAATTCTATTTTGATGCAGCATGGTACGGGATCCCATACATCTATGAGCATCATAATGTTAAGAAACAATAAACGATTTAGTGAGATGTTTATCTTGCGTCGCCAACAAATATAATCTTTGGTTACAGAACAAATTAAAACACATTTCTAATTTATTTATTTTTTATTTCATTATTCCATACTGCCAGTTTTGACTTATATAAATATTAAATTTTACAGTAATTTGTCGTCTTTTATATAGGATTATGAAGTTGTGTCAATAAGGCCAGTCACCTGCGCGGCTAGATGCAGTGTCGGCTGGTATAACCGAGATCCTTGGCTTGAATCCATCTTCATCAGCCTCGTACTCTACCACCTGGAAAGAACAGAATACATGTCATGAAAATATATTCATATTAGCACGTTTTCATCATGTCACTTTCTAGTTTTTCTGCCGTTCCGGGTGAAGTCTTGCAATTCAAATTTCTAACAATTCCTGATGGCCTAGGGACTTGAAATTTTGATCATAGCTCAGAATCAGAAATTCTAGGTGAAAAACGTGGTAAAATAATTTTTAGGACAAATTAAAAAAAATACACTTGTTTGTACACTTTCGTTTGTTGACAAATTATAGCAACTAGCTACTGTAGTCCAAGGATAAAAAGTAAGAGATCAAAAACAGAAACAGAAACTTTTTTATTCAATATAGATTATAAATAATACTTATTGAAAGTCACTTTTTTTAATTTACCACTGATTCGGAAAAAAACCTCTATCCTGGGAAGAACCAGCAAGAAACCCAGCGGTTTTTTTAAATAACAGCTTACAATCATGTATGTTACAATTAACACACAATAAATTAGAATCAGCTTGGTAGCGATCACCCTACCCAGGGGTTATTATCATCCATATCTAAAGTGTATAAGAGATGTAGATAAATGCAGAAAAAACTAGTATAATAATAGGCCATGAGGTATTCCATCTTAGTCCTCATTGATGCCAACTCTTTATTTATGTTGGTTGCAGGTGAACACCCGACTGCTGCCACGTTCCAGGTGGAATGTAAGTTTGTTTTTCAATTCATTTGTTTTATAGATTAACGGTGACAAACGAACACACGTTCCACCTGATGGCAAGGGGTGCTGTGGCCCATAGACATATACATCTGTATCCGATGATGAATCATAATGCAGATGCGTTGTCACCCCTGAGGACTACGATGGTATGTCTTGTTCCCAGTAAAGAAAGAACTTAGATTCACAACCTTTTACAATGCTGACTATCTTACTATAAAAGTTAAAATTACAGCCTACATACGTCCTACGTAGTGGGACGTATGTAGGCTGTAAGAGAAATGAGAGAACGCCTGTGCCTCCTCTCATTTCTGAGAGAGTTTAAGGGTAAAGTAATGTCCGCTTTGCTGCCTCACTGCATGTTGGAGAACTCTACATGTCTTCAAAATTTTTTTTTGTTTCTCAGACATGCAGGTTTCTTTATGATGTTTTCCTTCACCGTCGAGCACGTGGTAAATCAACACTTAAAATTGCTCGTGTACTGTGAAAATTTATATATTGTATTTCAGTATGTCTTACTACACTAAAATACAATAGTATTCGCATTTGTGTTTGCAGAAATAGATAGGTGGAATTTACTCGGGTCCCAAAGCAGTAGAGCTGATGAAGATGATTTCAACGTACCTGTTTGGTTCCATCAGGAAGTACGACAAAGTACGCCCCTTCTGCTTTATCGTCCTGCCGGTTTTCCGCGTGGCCAAAGTCACTTCCGCTCTCGTAGTCACTCACTTTGTAGGAGAACTCATAGTTCGCTGGTTCCTGTGTATTTTGATTAGTAAGTTTGAGTAACAGAACGTGTAGTAGCGTGTAAGAATATCCAGTACCCCATATCGTCCTGTGGGTGTCGCAAGAGGTGAGGCAGAGAAATACGAAGGCAACAGCGTCTTCCTAATAACGACTAGAAAATAAAACAAACTGCGGTTACCAACCTGCCCACCAAGCGTGGCAACTGTGGCAAATATTCCCCTAATCAGGTAACCTATGGAGCGACCCCCCGGGTATGTTCAGCAGTGGTCTTCGATAGTCTTTATTGAACGAATAATTAATGGCATTGATACATTTAGTAGTATTTATCAATTCCCTTAATTTGCGTGTTTGTGCAAAACGCAGCGCTAGTCGTTATTTGTGAAGTTTTTAGGAGCTATCTACTTCTTATTAAAATGATATATCTACTAATAAAAAACCTATTACATCTCTACACAATCTTGATTCCATAATAGCCAATTCCAGTTTTTAGGGTTCCGTAGTCAACTAAGAACCCTTATAGTTTCGCCATGTCTGTCTGTCCGTCTGTCCGTCCTGGCTTAATTTCTGTGACCGCTAGCACTAGAAAGCTGAAATTTAGTACCAATATGTGTATCAATCACGCCGACAAAGTGGTAAAATAAAAATTGGAAAGAAATGTTTTATTAGGGTAGCCCCCCTATATGTAAAGTGGGAAGTGATTTTTTTTTTAATTTCAACCCTAACGTGTGATATATTGTTGAAAAGGTATTTAAAAATGAATAGGGGTTTACTAAAATCATTTTTTGACAATGTCAATAATTTCGGAATATCGCTCCAAAAGTAAAAAACAATGTGTCCCCCCCCCCCTCTAACTTTTGAACCATAAGTTTAGAAAATATGAAAAAAAATCTGAAAAGTAGAACTTTATAAGGACTTTATAGGAAAATCATTTTGAACTCGGATGGAAACAACAGTACCCACTACCGGGAGCAGTTGCAGGAGCGCGGAGCGCTGCTGGAGCGCGAACATATGGATACCCTTTAAACTCATAAGTGGGAACACTTATTGTGACGGACGGGAAACTACGGAACGCTACACTGAGCGTGGCCCGACACGCTTTTGGCCGGTGTTTTTTAAAGGAGTAAATACTTGATGAATCTTCCTACAACTAAACCACAGAAATGCGAATTAATTATTAATAATAAAATATTATTATATAAAAATTATTGATGACATACATCTCCTCATAAAGTAAACATTATTACACGTCTCATAAGCGAAGCGTTGAGGTTGTGCTCTACTCTCACCTAATGGTGTTAAGTAAAGTCGCTTAATACGTAAGTAACATCATGTATTTTATTAACTGCATAAAATATCATAAATCTAAACAAGGTTATAGATATTCATAGTAATAACAATGTACATTTTAGACACACAAATAACAAGGTATAACAATAATTATTATTATTACTCACAATTTCTTCTACTTTCTTCTTCCGTGTACGTATTCTCTGCTCAACAGTTTTAGTAAGACTGCCGCTCGTAGCTGCCGCTTGTCGCTGCCGCTCAAACCGACGACATCTGTCTTTTATAGGCTTGTAATTTAACAGTGCTAAAGTACAGATGGCGTTGCTTGTGTGGTTTCCGTTACAAGTTTTTATAAAATTGGATATTAAGCCGTATGTTTTTACATCATAAAACATTATTTATATTTCTTATAATTATCTTAAACAGTTTTATATTCTAGTTATCAATATAAGCAAAAATAAATAACTAGACATAATCTAATACATTAATGTTTCCGCAGACTTTATAGGATGAAAATAATTAATTACCCACCATGTTAGTTACAACAATATAAATTATTAAAATACGCTAACAATGGAAATCCAGTAATTTACTGAGCTAAAAATGTCTTCATTTTTTAACTACCGCACTTTAAGAATAATGAAAATACACATATATCGAGAAAAATCATTCGTTTTCATGTTTCTATTATTTTTAAAAGTAATTTTCTGTATTAAGTGTAAAAACAAACTGATTGAAAAAAATTATCGAGGGTGCCCGGAAGTCTGTATTAATCGTAGTCGTTAGAATTAATGTATCAAAATAATTCTTTTTTTATTAGGTTTAGAATCACAACGCACAGGTTTCTTTAAAAAAATCACTGAGTAATTTGTTCTCGTTTAATTTTAATTAATGAAAATGTAAAAAAACAACTGGTACTTTTCTACAAAAAAATATTCTCATGGATCTCTTCTTTCGTCTCAAATATAGAAAAAGAGATATTTTTCTTTTATATAATCAAATGGGATTATAAGGCGTGCACTTTTGTATTTTCCAAACTTTTTTATTTTACGATTGCCAATAATGGATAGGCAATTTATTAATGAACATTTTGATCTATTTAATTTTTTCAAAAGATAAATATTCGATTTTATAAAGAAAATATTTTAAAATTTGGGCGAATTTCTTACGCGATATATTATTGTAGAGAGAGCGCGTGGAATGTATAGAACCGAATGCTGCAGGTCGTTCGCTAGGAATAGCGCCTTAATTGGCCTCCCCTTTAGATTGTCTTGTAGGCTTTTGCTATAGTTGCCACGCTTGCAAGGCGGGATGGCAAAAGAAAAATGCTGCTGCCTATATCCTGTTTCAGATTCCCTCTATCCCCACTTACGACTCCTACGGGATGAGATGAGGTAGCGGATTTTCTTACTCCGCTGTTTAATGCTTCGATATCCTTGTGCTTGCTTACTTGTAATATTTCGTTTACTTGACTTTGTAGTTCTTACCTGATTAAGCAATTCTAAAGAATTTCTTGCACAGCTCTCGTAGCTCCGGTCTGAGTATCCGTCGAGGTTTCTTGAAGCCCCGTACTGCGGCGAGGGCATGGCGGTACGAGATGATGGTGCGCCGTATTCCCGAGATGGTGATCTGTTAAACCCAAAATGAATGTTATCTCTTGTGTACTGTCCTGGTTTATTAAAAATCACCAGTGTGTCCAAAGTATGGATAAATATTTTTTTTTAGGATGGTGTGACAAACGAGCACACAGTCCACCTGATGGTAAGTGGTTGCTGTGGCCCATAGACATCTACATCTATCCTCGATTACGAATCAGAATGAGATGCAGTGCCACCCGTGAGGACTAAGATGGAATGCCTCGTTTCCAGTAAAAAGGGTCTCCGGTTCTACACTCACCATACGAAATACACCAGCATTAAGCTACTAAGCTACTATTTTACGCTGGTAATCCGTGAGAGCGTGGCCCTTCTCCGGTTGAGCCTACGAGTACACATTCGTGCTACAACTATGCCACTAATATAACTGCATGGCTCTACCAAGTATAAAACGATCAACATAATGTTTCTGCCATGCATATAGACTTACTGTACAATAAGTTTTATTGTACTATAGTAAACCAGTGTTTGACTAGCTACCCCGATGGTAAGTGATTATGTTAAATAGATGAAGAACGTTAAAGCGCAATGATTGTGCTTAAAAGACTCCTACATTGTAAACGAATGACTATTCTGTTCATTTCTGTACGCATAACGAACGGCGAAGAAAACTATTTACATGATTCTTTATTATTAGATCAGGAGCCAGAGAAGAAATTCAGAGTTGTGCTTCGTCTAATACATTGAACCGTGATACTAGTCTATTTTTTACGTGGTAGAGCCACGCTGCAGTTACGTTATAGTTGCAGCACGAATGGATCGGCTCGACCAGGGCAGGACCACGTTCTGGACACGCTTATCGTATGGTGAGTGTAGAGAACTGGAGATCCTTTTTACTGGAAAGCAGGCATTCCATCATGGTCCTCAGGGGTGACAACGCATTTGCTCGTTTTGATTCTTGATTGTGGATTAATATGGATGTCTATGGGTCACAGTATCCACTTACGATCAGGTGGACTGTGTGCTCGTTTTCCAACAAATGCTATAAATTAAATAGTCTTTCTAATATTAAAATTTTTAATTATTTGCAGCATATACAATGGTCAAAGAAGTTCTTATGTTTCTTTGACCCTATGACAAGTTTATATAAAGATTTTTTAGATTTACGAGAACACTACACATTGATTAAAACTACTTTTATGGATTTTATCATTTTCTGATGATTCTCATTCACATTGTCTGATGTGAAGCATCAACGTTCCGGGAAGTCTGCAGTTTGTGATCATATCCTAGACGGCCCCAACCATTACATCAAATTTGATAGACCATAAATCCTCGCAAAAGAACACCGATTCCTACCAAGGATGATACGTGAGGCTATGGAAATTAAAAAACATCCTAATTTCAATAGAGAAGGAGGCTGGGTACTACCACCTGCTTGGGACCCTATAATCAATAAAATTAAAACTAAGCCCAAGCATACCACTGCAAGACCTCAAGACATAGTTCATTTTGCATAGATCGGACCATAAACAATAATTAAAAAAAGCAGTAGGTACTCCGGGTTCAACAATGACATCGGGACGTCAGTCACCTCAGTCTCCGTGACCATGAGTGCTGGAAAGCACCAGAAACGTCGGGAATTAAAAATAAAAATAATTAAAATTAAACGCGATAAAATCCGTAAAAGTAGTTTTAACCTATGACAAGTGTCAAAGAAGCGTAAGAACCTTGATAGACGAGGGAAGCACATTATATGTTTATTTTTCACAAATCAACGCAAGATAGTGTAGCCAGATAGTTTAAGCAGCTATAACATGGTTGTAGCACGAATGGGTCAGCTCGACCGGGGAAGGACAACGCTCTCACAGAATACCAGCGTAAAATAGCAGGTTAATGCTGCTGTGTTGCGTATGGCAAGTGTAGAGATCCGGAGACCCTTTTTTTACTGGAAATGAGGCATTCCATTTTAGTCCTCAGCGGTAACAAGTCATCTGTTTTTGATTCTTAATCGAGGATAAGTGTAGATGTCTATGAGCCACAGCATCCACTTACCATCAGGTGGACTATGTGCTCGTTTGTCACCCTTATTCTATAAAAAGCGACTATCTAGTCACAGTACCAAATATGTAGCCCTTTAGCTACCATGGACGGAATACTTATAAAAAAAACATAAACACTCACGCCTGTCACCCAGAGGGGTAGGCAGAGACTACAGACTTCCATTTAGCACGATCCTGACATACCTTTCTCGCCTCTTCCACATCCATATACCTACGCATACATGCTCGTCGGTTAAGGGTACTCTTAATTTGGCCCATTTTTAGTATATCGCCGATTTGGTCGACAAACTTCCGCCTAGGACGTCCCTTTCCGACTCTTCCATTCACTTCTGCAACATATATTTGCTTTGTCAGTCTTTCCGCATTCATTCTTTCTACATGACCAAACCACCGAAGCATTCCTTTCTTAATCCTGGTCACCGCATCATCTTGCAAACCACACTCTTCTTTTATCACACAGTTTCTCACCCTGTCACATCAGATTCAGCCCTAGCATACTCCTTAGCGACCGCATTTCTACCGCATTTATTCTACTCTCGTGCTTCTTCTGCCACACTATAATATAAATACTTATAACTATGTATTAAATACATTATACATACCTAGTTGATGGATAAGATGATGCAAGGGTGCTTGATTTCAAAGCTGCTCCTGTTTCTGGCACACCATATTCCTGAGAGATACTCCATCCATTAGGTATGTTGTACGTTGTCGACAACACACCTGATTCACTATAATATGCATCAGCATTTATAGCTTCAGGTGCACTATACTGAGTCGCCAGAGAGTTAGCTGGTGTTCCATAAATTTGGGAAGGACTGTTTCTTGATGATTTGGCGAGACTTTGAGCGCCAAATGAGAAATCTTCTAATGTCTTGTGCGCCTGCTGTGCATTAGATCTTGAAGAAGGTGAATATTCCTGTGATACGGAGCCAGAACGCAACTGGCTACTACGAGATTTGGGCACACCGTACTTTTGAACGGTCGAAGAGCTTCTAGTATTCGAAAAGCCACTGTTTCTTTGGAATGGGGCATTGTAATCTTCAGTATTCGTTGGTTGATATTCAGGGGCACCGTGTTGTGTGGTTGGAGACGATCTGAATGATGGGGCACTGTATACGTCCGAAGGAGACGTTTTTACAGCACCGTACAGTTGAGATGTTCCTGTTTTTGACTTAACCGCCGAAAAGATCTGTCTCAAAGAGCTAAGAGAGTCGTACTCTTGTGAGAGACGGACTGACGGTGCATAATCCTGTGATAATTTTCTCCCAGATTCTGTACCACTGCGCAAGTTGGGATATCCATGTTCCTGAGATAATCCGCCACGGAATCTAGGGGGTCCATATTCTTGAGAATTTCCCCTAGTGTTTGTTCCATGATATTGGTGAGAATTGGTGTTAGTAAATGCTTTGGAGCCTCGTACAGATGATTCAGGTAAGTCCGGTAAATATTGTTGAGGAGCTCTTCGTGATCTGATCGGGCTGCTGCTAAGTAACTATCCCTGTGGGAAAACATAAGTTACTTGTTATGTATATTCCTTTCATAGGGTGTAACTGTTAAAATATCAAATTTAATTAATTTGAAGCATTTAATTGATAAATTTGGAATTTTACAAATAGTTAATAGTACATTACGATACAATTTGACGAATTGAAAATTTGTAGAATACTACTCGAAAATGATTATAAAGACAAAAATTATGTCAAAAAATAAAATATAAAGATGTGTTAATATGGTATGTGATATATGATATATATGATAGGCAGACCAGGCCAGGCAGACGTAGTTCTGGTCGGACGGAGGACATTATTATTATTCTTGAATTCAAATATAATGCTTTATGTAGGCCAAAATTAATGAAAATTTGAATTTTCTTAGTGTTATTTAATTTACTAACATCGCAAGAAATACTGAATGATTTTTTTTACCGTCTGGAATAAATAGGGTGTAACAGGTGAACGGAATAGAAGCCTACGGCACTGATATTTTACATTTTTTGTTACATTATCATATTATGAAATTGATCTATCAATAAATACTCCTACTTAGGTGCGTATTATTTCAATTTGGATAGTTTTCAATGGATTTATTTATTTAGTTCAAAATTTTTGTTCCTATTTTTTTTAGTAGGTACCGAAAGTTTATTTCAAATTAGTAGTATTTATTGATAGATCAATTTCATAAAAATATGTTGATGTAAAAGCAAAAAAAAATATCAGTACCATAGGCTTCTACTCCGTTAACCCATAACACACTGCTTTTTCCAGACGGTAAAAAATTCATCTATTATAGAATAATCAAACGCGACTTAAGCAACCGATGGCTCAGCCACGGCGAACGAGAACACACTTAATAAAAAGAATAACATCTGCAAGAAATAAAAAATGTTTTTACATATTTTTATTATAGAAGAAGCATGGCAAACGAGCACACAGTCCATCTGATAGTAAGTGGATGCTGTGGCCCGTAGACATATGCAAATTCGCTGTCACCCCTGAGGATTAATATGAAATGCCTCGTAGCCAGTAAAAAAGGTCTCTATATCTCTACACTCACCATAAAAAACACAGCAGTATTCTGCTGCTATTTTACGTTGGTATTCTCTGAGAGCGTGGTCCTTCCCCGGTCTTCGTGCTATAACCATAATATAGCTGCAACGTGGTGCTATCACATATGAGCTGACATTATAGCTGAAGTACAAACGGTTCAGCTTGACCGGGGAAATTAAACGTTCTCACAGAAAACCGGCGAAAAACAGCAGCTGTATGCTGCTTTCGTATGGTTAGTTACTAGAACTAAAGTCCATTTTACTGGTAATATAAATACCATCTTTATTCCTAAAGGTGGCAACGAATAGAAGGGGAGTTGATCGAGCAAGTAGATGAGTTTGTATATTTGGGTTGCGTATTTAGCAGGGATGGGAGATATGATAAGGATATAGAACGACGAGTGAACGCAGGAAACAGAGTAAATGGAGCCCTGCACTCTATTGTGAAGAGTCAAAATGTGTCAAAAAAGGCACGTATGGCAATTTACAATGCTGTGTTGGTCCCTACTTTAACGTATGGTAGTGAAAGTTGGGTATGGCAGAAGAAGCACGAGAGTAGAATAAATGCAGTAGAAATGCGGTCGTTAAGGAGTATGTTAGGGCTGAATCTGAATGACAGGGTGAAAAATTGTGTGATAAGAGAAGAGTGTGGTTTGCAAGATGATGTTGTGACCAGGATTAAGAAAGGAATGCTTCGGTGGTTTGGTCATGTGGAAAGAATGGATGAGGAAAGAGTGACAAAGAAAATTTATGTTGCAGAAGTGAATGGCAGAGTCGGAAAGGGACGTCCTAGGCGAAAATTTATCGACCAAATTGGCGATTTATTGAAAACGGGCCAAATTAGGAGTACCCTTAACCGACGAGCATGCATGCGTAGGTGTATGGATGTGAAGGAGGCGAGAGAGGTGTGTCAGGATCGTGCCAAATGGAAGTCTGTAGTCTCTGCCTACCCCTCTGGGTGACAGGCGTGAGTGTTTATGTTTATGTTATGTGGCAACGAATCTGTATATGGGCCACAGCATCTTGTGGACCATAGCATCCACTAACCATCAGGTAGACAGCGTACTTATTTGT